TACAATGATTGTGAGCGGCTTATATACAATACAGAAATATTGAGGTAACGTAATACAACAAAGGTCTAAATTGCAAACTGAGAAAAGTAGAACAATAAAAAGGCAAAAAGAAGAATCTGACTTAATTATTAGCGATAACGGAATGAAATACAATGAAATGTGTCATATTGGGAAAATGGAAGCTGCTCAATTGTAGTAATTAATGCGGTGTTTGGATCTAGATTTCCGCCGTTTGTTGAGACCATGAGGATTAAGGGTAAATAACTGCGCGGTCCAATAGGCCTCCCTAGTGAGTAATAATCGTTCAAGGTGTGCGGCATTTTCAAAAAGACCCAATTTGTTCAATTGATTTGAGAAATTTCGTGTTTAGAGTCATTAAAATGAATTGCCAATTCACAAGTTCTTTTGTTCTTGAGCATGTTCGATTTGTGGTTACGAAATCTAACTTTAAATTCAGTCGAGGTGGAGCCTACATATTGTAGGTTGCATTTGACTCAGGTGGCTAAATAAATGACGCTTCGTGACGAACAAGACGGCCTTTGCCGAATTGGATATCGGAGGCCGGTTGCCGAACTCTGAAACCCCAAAGCTTGAATGAAATAATTTTTACATAAATCGCATCTCCCGCCGCATTTTGAGCAGCCCCCGTCTTCCTCTCTCTGCCTTCCACTGGACGCTACCTGAAATTTTGACGGTGCCAACATCTCCTTAAGATTTTTGGTTCTACGATAAGCGGGAAAAATCGACTTGGATGAAAAAATTTCTTTGACTTCTGGCGATGATTGTAATAAATGAAGGTGCTTTCTGATGATGTTTTGGATATCTGGCAAAATTGGATTATATTCGAGCACTAAAGGAAAAACTTTCTTTGCTGGCTAGGCCTTTTTCTTCAAGAGTTCAGCCCTTGGTGTACTGAGGCCCTTGTCGAACTGTTCATCAACAAGCTCCGCTTGTTGATCCGCTTGTTTATCAACAAGCTCCGGTTTCTATTCTTGCGCGCGTTAGCTGTGGGTGCTTCGTAGTCACGGAATTCTAGTTTGGTGTGATATCCACTTGCTTTTAGCGCACTGAGACTCATATAGAGGTTTGGCTTTATCGAATACTTCTCTATTACATGAGTTGACGGAAAGTCGTCGGTTGATTGATTTAGGTAGGTAGGCGATTATGGGCGGCGGGTGGTTGGATTTGGTGTCGATGTAGAGGGGGTCGTTATTCGGCTTGCGGTAAGGATGGTATTTACCAGATTCGAGGTTAAGCGTGATGTCTAGGAAATTGACTGCTTTCAGGTTAGTTTGGATGGAGATGGTGAGGCCGTGCTGTTTAAAGAGACTAATTAATTTCTTCCTGGTTCGTTCCGCTTGAGGTCCTGGGGCGTTTTTTAGTATTTATTTTATTTTTATTTATTTATAAGCTTCGCCAAAAACAATTTGGCAGGAGAGATCTCACAGAGCTAACGTTCCATTAACGAGACTCCTAATGCGAGTCCGTCGTCTGTTTGTGGGGAGGAGCGTTGCGTGATGAGACTAAGAACGGCTGCGAGGGAGACTATCTCTGTACAGTCCTATGTCGCAGTTGTTAGAATTCGAGCTCAGAGAGCTGAGGATGAATATGCCGACGATCGAGATCACATATCTCAGCGCCGTCGTAACTGCCCAGGGTTACGTCAAATAAGGAGTCGTTATTTTTCTTTTCCCAGGGGGAGTCATTGTCGAAGAGTAGTCATTTTCTGCAGTACATGATGATTTCGGTATCTTGAGGCGTTATGTTGTGATAGGTTTCTAAATGTAATCTAAATCTAAATATCGTTATGTCGGCAAAATCGTTTAGGACATCACGCCAACTCTAAGATAATAATAAGTGAAGCTATACTAAATATACAACACTATTAAAAACTATTGAAAATTATTAAAAACTATTTAAAACTACCGATAAATAAATTTAAGTTAGTTTGCTTTTAAAAATACGGAGGGATTGGCTGGAAACAGTTTCTTTTGGGAGTTTGTTCCATTCAGTTATTGTCCTGGGGAA